GGTGGGGCCCCTCCCCCAGGCGCGTGGATGGGGGGGCGCCCCCGGTCCCCGCCCCCTGGCGCCCGGCGGGCAAACGGCCACGCCCCCTGGCGCCCGACAACCTAAAAAGGTTGGGGACCACTGATCTAAGGGCAGACAGGATAGATAGGGTTGTGAAATGAACTGATTCTTTGTCTTCCTGTTCACCAGAGTGAAGGAAATCTGCCAGAAACTGTGAAAGTTCCCTAGAAACTGAAGATGACAAATGTGGGAACATATGGACATGCCACAAAAATTATGAAAGATTAGAGAGGAACCCCAGGATTAATTAAAAACACCAGAAAGCAGGGCTGGATCTTCTCTCTGCAACAGGAGCGTACCCAGAGAAGGTAATGTGGCCACCACATTACCAACAGCAATTAAAAGATTAATTGGAAATGTACAGGCCTACGAATCTAACCTTGTATTGGAAAACATTTTACGGGCATTAATAAGAGACAGCACGGAAGCATGGATACAGATGGAGCAGACAGTGTGAATGCTGAAATGGTCATACTTAAAGTTTAGGAACAGAGCAATTGTCAGTTCAGACTATGGACAATCCATTCTGTATCCTGTGTCTAATAGTGGCCAGTATCAGATGTTTCAGAGAAATGTGAGACCCGTTCTATTGCTTCTAGTTATACCTGGATTTCTATCAGTACAGTTAGGAAGGGTCTTCAACTAGGATCTGATGGGCACTACGGACTTAGCTATCGATTAATTTAATAATCATGTAACCTCATCACATTTTAGTAGTTACATGATTGAGTATCGGGGGTAGCCGTGTTAGTCTGAATATTTATACCTGCCTCTGAAAATTTCCACTACATGCATCTGACGAAGTGGGTCTTTGCCCACAAAAGCTTATGCTCCAACACTTCGGTTAGTCTATAACGATTATTTGACAGTCTATCGGGGTGGGACCACAGCCAGTGCAGTTCCAGCCCCACTCTCGGGGAGCCCGTGCCATCCTGTGCTGTTGCCTCTGTATCAGAGGCAGCAGCATGAGGTGGCAGGCAGAATCCAGTCTTCAAGGGGATCCAGCATTCCCATGCAGTAGCCCTTGTCTGAGGGGAGAAGGGGGTGAGTTCCCTGCAGATAGAGACTGTGCTGGCATTCCACAACAGTCTTTCCTACCCTACCTCCCCCCACCCCCCGGCATTGCTGCCTCTGATAAAGGCAGTGATGTGTGTGCAAGGCAGGCAGCTCATGTCTGCCTCCCCCCCGCTGCTTATGTGGGAGGCAGCAAGGGAGGGGACAAGTGGCTCTGCGGGAGCTGATACATGTGGGCAGCCAGCTAGAAAGCCGGTTTCCCACGTGTAAAGAATCCACCTGCCTCCTCCCCCTCTGTTCTGCTGCCTGTCTATCAGAGACAGCAGTCGGGGGCAGGTAAGGCAGCTCCATCGGATCTGGTGCTCGTGGGGAGCCTGCTTAAAAGGGAGAGGCAGCAAGGCAGGAGGAGTGTGCAAAATCGATAGGATGAACCGCTAAGCCCAAGCTTATCGGTTAATCATGTGGTTTGACTACATTCTGACATCCCTAATGGGCATATTCCACATAATAAATTCTCTGAATTTATGAGGGTAAGATAGGGCTGTGGAGAGGTCAAGCACTGGTGGACTTCATTTCTTCCTGTCCTCCTCAAGAACTCCCACTGAGTAGAGTTACAGCTACAGTTTCCAGTTTGGGCTGGCAAGTCCATCTAAACTGCCAAACACCTTGCTATCTGGACCTTATTTAATAGTCAGAGATAAGCATAGAACTGCACATGATCTGATAGGTGGTGTTAGTGGTTAAAATTGTTGCTAGTTTAAACTGCTGTACAGGGGATAAATATGGGGAAGGGTATTCTATTAGCAGATTTCAAGCTTATTTATGCCCAAATTTGTTTTCTGTGAATAGCCATGTCCAAAACAAAATGCAACATTTTAACTAGCTATTATCTCCTTGAACTCTTTAAGAACTGACTTGATTCCTGGCCTGTAGCGCACATTCCTACTTACAGGCAGTCCCCGAGTTACGCGGATCCAACTTATGTCGGATCCGCACTTACGAACGGGGCTTTCTCGCCCTGGAGCTCGCAGGCAGCGGGACCGCCCAGAGCGCAGCGGTCCCGCCACCTCGACCTCCGGGGTGAGAAAATCTCCTTGAACTCTTTAAGAACTGACTTGATTCCTGGCCTGTAGCGCACATTCCTACTTACAGGCAGTCCCCGAGTTACGCGGATCCAACTTATGTCGGATCCGCACTTACGAACGGGGCTTTCTCGCCCTGGAGCTCGCAGGCAGCGGGACCGCCCAGAGCGCAGCGGTCCCGCCACCTCGACCTCCGGGGTGAGAAAAGCTGCTCCGGGTGCCCCTGGTTTGCTGGGGACCGTCTCCAGCAGACCAGGGACACCTGGAGCAAAGCCGGGGAGGCGGAGGGGTGCCGTGCCTCTGAGGCTTTGCTCTGGGGACCATCTCCAGCAGACCGGGGACCCCGGGAGCAAAGCCGCGCCGCTGCGGCTTTGCTCCCCGTGTCCCTGGTCTGCTGGAGGGGGAGGGGCGCACCTAGGGTGGCCCCC